ACTCGCGTAAAAACAAAGAAAAATTTGCTATTAATTTAGTCCACAGGTTGGAAGCAGCGGTGTGCATTGTAAAATTGGTTAAAAATTTGAAAACAGTTTAAACAACGCTCAGTACGATCTTGAAGCGCGAGAAGTGAGGATGTGCCAACATTTTGTTTCGTTGTAATATTTTCTCAACTGTCTTCTAACAATGAATCCGTTAAGCCGGTAAAACGTGGGTATAAACGCGCAGTACTTGGATGGTTCTTAACGATACGTCGAAATCGTTAGATTTTTAATTCCGATTGTTTATAATTATTACATCAACATGTTTCTTCTTTAAAAAGGTGCAATCGATTTAATGTTGGCAGAATCTTTATTCACCACAGATGGAATATGTACATCTTCTGTAACTCGCACTATTGACTGTGGAAGATAAAAAAGGTGTTCCTTCAATTTGCCCATAATATGCAAATTCAAGTCGATAGTATGCCCGGTATAGTGACATACATATGATTCAAATGCCATTATCGCTCTTTGTCTAGGGTGTGTGTAGTATTTTGTGTAAAATTATTTAGTGATTTGATCGCTTCAGCCTCTAGAGTAGACGCAGGCCCGGATGTTGATGTTGGGTATGGCAGACGCGGCAAAGAAAAAACAGTTTAAGTGATTTAAGCCTAAAAAATAAAGAAATAAAAAAGAATGAATAGAAGAACACACGTACGCATTAAACCAAAAATAATAATATGGATTTAATATAATTGCATTATAGTTTGTGATAATTTCCATCGTATCCTATTTGATAATCCATATCATTAAATTGAAATTCGATTAAATAATATACAACATAAATATATGTGATATGTGGATATTTACTTAAATATTAATTAATAAAGAAATTAATCCAAATATAAAATGAAATTATTTTTCGCAGTATTAATTCATTCATGGATTAATTCATAATATTTTGCAATTCAATTACTCGACTGTGTTTCAGGATCCATTGTTTAATATGTTTAAATACTATATAATTGATGAGATTGCAGATCTCAAATTCTAACTTCTTCAGAATTGGCAGCAGAGGAACAAATTATTGGATATATATGTGTAAAATTGTTTAGTTTTCATGGTAAGTATTAAATGAAATATTAAAATATCAAAAATTTTAGGAATACAAAACACTAGCATATCGAATATTGCATTTAAATCAATGTTTCTATTTATGATATTTCACTCTCAAGAAACTCAAAATTGTTGATTGTTTGCTTATCTATGAAAGACCATTAGCATGCAATCTCATTCAAAACCCATTTCATTTTGCATTTGTTTTTTAAGCCATCACCCACTTTTTGGCACAAGCATACACTCCATTCAGAATGAATTCAGAATATTTTTTTATATCTACATATTGTCACAGTTTTATGTTGAGAATAATTCATAAATTTACTATATTATTGGAAATAAAATAAAAATATATATGTATATATAAACTAAAGTCACAACGATTCTTCATAAAAATCGATGGGTCTTCGATGGGCAAACTTGTGAATACCCAATGAAAGTAGTGAAAAGCTTTTACGTATATATAGAGTGTCTTTTGAGAGAACAACGATTTGAAATTGAAAGAAAGCAAATACAATTTGAGTGAACGGATCGAATTTTTTTTTATTCTATGAATTATCTTATTAAAAATATGAATTCGTTTAATAAACTATTAAGCTTCAATTTACAATAACTTTTTCGAAAACTGAATGCAGTATCTTATGAATCATGTTTGACTTGTCCACATAAGTCAAAGGCTTCAAATGCTTTTACAGAAAGTGCTCCACCGTCGCGACGGTACACCACATGGCCTAGGAGATTAAACAACACTTCTATTTCTGAAGACAATATAAGCATGGAACACTTGTTTAAATTATTTATTGATTTCTATGATAATAAAAGTTGCCGAAGGCAAAAGTCTTCGAGGACAGTTTCGCTAATATATGAAGAAATAAATTTCCATTGACGGTGCCATTCCGATGTTATTCATTTTTAAAAAAGTAGATTTCATTCATGCTATCAGTCCATAAATAACGCCAAACTGCTTATTTCTTAAGGTTCACCATAAGGTGATAGTTTCCCTAAGGAAATGGGACCAAGGGAGTATTGACACAAAATTGTGCCTTATAGCCTAGTACTCTGTAAACATTTTTTAATCAACATTTATTTCACATCTATAAATAGTCTTTACATTACAACTTAGACTTAAGTCTTTACATTACAATTGACTTGACCTTACTAAATAAAAAGATTATTTAGGTGACTGATTATTTTTAAGTGCTATGTAATCCAATCCATGTAATTGGAAAAGTACCAACCCATATTAAAGACCCTATATAAGCGGTAATTATACTATATATATATATCTATTATCGATTATTTATTAACTCGATGATAAGAATTAAATTAACTCAATAGTATATATTTTTTATTTCTGAGTTCGACCTCAGAATTTATTTTATGTACGATTTTATTCCAAAACTATTATTAAAAAAATCTCTCATTATTTTAAGTAATATTCTATTGTGGTAATATAATAGTATAGAAAATTAGTTCTATAAACTCACCTATTAGAAATGACCGTTGAACCATGGAAGTCAGAGTGGTAAGAAACTTATTTGAGCAATGAAGGGCAAAAGTAGAAGTTGATGGTCTTATAAATCGATGTGTACACATAAATCGAAATTTATCAAAGCCAAAGCGTTATAACGGTTGTGAAGGTAGAAGATAAGATTAGTGAAAGGGATGGATGGCATTTGAGTTTGAGCCTTGTTTTATGTTGATCTACATTTAAGTTATGTTTCATGGTTATAAATAATAATAAGAAAATGTTTCTTACATATTCAATAGCTTTATTATCATTCCTGAATCTGAAAATTGGCAGATAATAGTTCTTTATTCTTTTTAGGCAGAGGGTTCTCCGGTTCAAGATGAACCTGTCGATCTCAGTTTGCGTTGTAAAAACGGTGAGTATATATTTATTCTATTATATATTATTTTTGAACTCTTTCAAAATACAAATTAAAATAATTCTAGTTTTGATAATAATTGATATAATATAAAACAGATTTTTTTCTCAAATTTTCCTACTACTTTCATAACTCTTTTTCTTTGAACGGTTCTTAGAATGGTGAGTGGATGTATCCGATTTGGTATAAGGAATTATTTTAACATACTTTCACGTAAGCGAAATAATGTCAGTATCAAGATCGTATCTATGTTGCAAATGTATTGACTGTGATTTTTAATTAAAGTGTAGACGTCATAGATTATATGTGGTTCTCAGTTTAGCAAAACATTGAGTTGAGCTACACTTCTAAGATACACAGCGTTAAGTTGCGAAATAACATATTCAACGACAAAATCTTTAAAATATTGTCCGGAAATATTAAAGCCGGTACCAACAACAGTCAAATATTCAGTCTATGGCTTAAGAACATGGGCTAACCACACCTCCAAATTTAATTAAACGATTAAATAGTGTAAATGGTTAATGGGTAATGATGGTGACAATCGTAGTGTTGGGTGTTCTTGACTCCTGAGTTCATTTCTACAGTATCCAATCATCGATTTTGCAATCTACCTTCAAGTCATCCTTCAAGTCATGTAATTTGACAAAACGGATAATAACGTTCATTGTAATTTTTGTAAACAAAATATTATCATTTATATCTTTCATTCTATTACAAGCCCTTATCGTTATTGGACAGGTGTTCCAGTTCGGTTTTGCAATAAGTTCTAAAGATATTATCTTCAAAGATTGTGAGTTGCTTGTAATGTTGAACCATAAGTGTTCATACCATAAAACGGTATTTTAGAATGGGCACAGTAGCGTTTTATATATTTTGAATTAAAGATTCCGCACCAGAAGCTTCCACTTATAAGCTTAAGATTTATATACATTCGGTTGTGCTAGAAAATTTATATATAACACGGAGGTACTTGAATTCGATTAGTTGTTCAGAAGTGTAAATCCTATTGGTAATGTATAATATATTGAGTTTGTTTAAAAGTTTATTAATTTAAAAAAAAAACTTCCTGCCTTCATAGTCTATAAAGAGGCGATCTTCGATTTTTATAAAGTAGTACTCTTATTCACTTGTCTTATATCATAATGCAGCAGGTTGAAAATGAAAGAAGAAAGAGCATTCGTTTAACTTTAGTTAGCGTTGGTTAGTCGAATAAGTCTCTGGCAATGTTCGTCGGGTATCTGTCACTTAATGAGCCTCTGACTCAAGCCTTGACTATAAGCCTTTGTAAGTTTAATAAATAGGTTTTTTTTGTACGATTTCACAATTTTTAAAAATTTGGATTAGGACAGAAATGGGTCTAATGTACATTGTATTTCGGAAATTTACATTGTTAGCCAGTGATTTATTTTAAATATTTCGACTGAATGATAGGAATATTTTTCCTTAAATATTTTAAGGAATAATTCCAATTTTAAATATTTCAAACTTCAATATATCTGAATGCTTTAAAAGTACGTGTACGAAAAGTGATCAGCAAGATCAGTAGTGTATAAACAAATGTACTATAAATATAACAACTTATAACAATAATATTTGTATGACATCAAATACAGCAAAAAGGTAGGCCAACATTTGTTTTATTCCAAAAAAAAAGATTTATAAAAAAATCATCTTTAAAAATGCATTGCAGTCACTTTGATAGCATAAAAGTCAACTATCTCTGCTGCTAGTTTGGGTGAATATATTCTATTTGAGGTTATGTGAAAGTTCAAGTTCGTGATCGTGCTCAAACATTTTAACTACTCACCTCGCTTCAAACAGCAACAGCAACAGCAATAACAACAACAACAGCAACAAAACCACAAAGTCACAATGACGAAAACCAAGAAAACATTTGAAGATGAGTACGCCAGCAATATGCCACGGCATATCACGGCATATCACGGCATACCACGGCATTTGCTTCTCAGATTGAGTGAATGTGTGCCAGAAACCCGATGCATTGGATATGATTGTGCGATTTCTGCACTGCCGTAGAATGCTCAACATAAGATTGTGTTGATGACAGTGGAGACATATTGTCTGCGTTGATATGGCTAGAGTGAAAAAAATCATCGCAAATAATTACTGCACCTTAAATTATTTATATATTTTTTTAGGAGAAGACATTCCCTAATTATTTTACTCTTCACAGTATTTTGATATGTCAACTTTGTCAAGATGTTTGTAACGTTTTCAAGGAGTCATTAAAGACGTTTTAAAGCACCAACATATATTCCAGAACATCTCGACCACAAGAATCGAGGAGAAATTTTAACCAGCGTTTGAAGATCATATCAACAAAAAAAAAACACAATGAAATATTTTTTAGGTACAGATCTTCGAAGAAATGTTTGGGGAAGGATAAGAAATAGAATATATATAGCATGGTCATCACGTCTGAAAAAATGTATAATACAAAATAAATAAAAGGTTTTTTGTATATAAAATAGCGGTAGATTCGGAAGCTGAAATTAAAACCTTTTTTCTGACTTTATTCCAAAAATTGAATAAAACTGAGAAAAACAAAGTATTATTGCCAATTATATGTAGGGATCTATTCTATTTATTCCTTATTTGTTAAGCCATTGTCTATCTAAATATGTTTCTCAAAATGATAAATCATTTAGAAACTTTCCCACTAATTTTGAAAAGAATATTGAATATTATTTTGCGACAGAAAAAAGATAGGTTGTGTTTAGCGAAAAAATGTCAAAAAGGTTTTATTACTTAAAGGTTGAATCAGAAAATACTTAGGGAAATCTATGTTTAATCATTAGGTTAGATGACGTTAAATGATGAATGGCAACTTTGTGCACTAAGTTTACTGATGTACAAATAATGGCTCATGGACCACCTTAAAGGCAGAAGCCTAAACATTTAGTGCAGCATCTCTTCAAAAGGCACAACATCCTTATTTAAGAAGAAGGGAACCAACCGAGTTAGTTTGGAAACATGGCTTTGTACAAATTTTAAAGGATGACACCTTCAATTGGAAAAGTTCAAGTGGAAATGGTGCAACAAAAATTTTGAACTTTCTTCAAGCAAAGATGAGCACAGATACATGAAGTGGAGTGAAGTTACCTTCTAAGCCTCTAACCCACAACTCCAACAAAAGTCGTTAGAAGGTAGACTAAGTCTAATTGCATGCCTTCCTAATATATAGTTGGTGCTGCATTAGTTAAGGCAGTTGATCGAATTTTGTCAGTTTAGATCAGATAAGTCTTTTGATCTGACTAATCTTCATCTTATCAGGCTTTTCTTTCCAACTCTGAGTATTAACCATTTATTGCCAGTTTTATCATTGCAAAAGATATAACAATAACAGAGAAGTGAGTTTTGGAGAACAATGTATTTGTTCTTTTTTGCAATTTCTCGAGATGGCGCTTTATCCAAGTAACTATATAACAACTAATTGAGATAAGTTTGGCCTTTTCAAACTACAATAGCAGCAACTGTAACATCTATCAGTACTTAATTGCAGCTTGGCTGTTATAGAATGTTTAGTAGTAGTAGTAGTAGTAATAGAAGTAGTTATTTGAATTAACTATATATATGAATTATAATATATATAATTTAATTACAGTTAACGTATATTCTATCTTTGAACTTACGATAATAGCTGATATATTCGTATTCGTATCGATACGAATCTCATCTAACCCAAAGCTGATCCTCCTTTCTTGGTAATAAGTTAATTAAGAATGTAAGTGGATTATTAGGGTTGGGTTTAGAAATAAGATTGGAATAAAAATGAAATTATATTCCTTTTTTCAAGCTTTATGATTCTATAAAAGGTTTTTATGCATTGGTTGCTATTAATCGCAGTTTGTTAAACGACATTCCAATTGTCTTAGGGACTATTCTACTCTAGGTTTTTTGAAGTCTTTCACGTCATCTTGCACCTGATAAAATATTGTATTATATTTTCAAAGTGTACCTGCTTCAAATAATTGAAAGTATACTGCACAAAAGTTTTTCTCATATGTATATTGAGGCAATTAGTGACATTATCGGAGTGGTACATATCGGCATGAAATTTCGCATTCTTCTTATTTGAAAAAATGTAATGCACAATACGAGAAAAATAAATTCATGTGAAATTCAAAATTTGAGTACATTATTTAAAGATATAAGCATGTAAATTCATTTTCAAGTAAAATGTCAATTTCGATCTAAGCAACATTTACTACCGGCATGGATTGAACAAAACAGCAGAAAACTGTATTTTCCCACGAATGCATCAGTAAATAAAAGCGCATTTCGCGTGATACTTTTATACACAATTCGATAATTGGGGACCTCGTTTTGTTATTTTCCTTTTTAAACATTTTGGTCTAATTTACAACCTATGCAGTTGAAGCGCGGTGCCACAAAGACTACAGATGCACTGCTTAACCACACTGATGCACTGTGTTGACCACAAGAACAGCCATTGAAGTGAACACCATGGGAACAAAGTTCGGGCAGAGCAGAGCAGAGCAGCGCAGCACATGCTGCTAACCGCTAACCGCTAGCCAGTAGACACTAGCCGCTAGCCGCTAACCGCTATTCTATTACGGCGCAATATTTGTTTAATTTCATTACCAATTCGTGTCTGGGTTTTGGACTTTACTGCGCCACTGCACCACTGATGCCACTTATCAATTTCTTCTCGGATCTCTCAAACTCAAAACCCATGGCCTCCGCAAGTAGTAATCCAGTTTTCGAACTGAAGCAAAGAATTTTACTTCAACAGTACTCGTATTATTTATTTGCGTAAATCAATCGCATTAACACTTAATGTATTAGCGATTCAAGCAACTTCACTTGGAGGATGGACTATGGAGGAAGGAGGATGGAGGATGGAGGATGCAGTCGGCTGAGGGAACAATGAAAATATTGCAAATTAAACAATATTTTTAACCGTATCTGAATTTAACATATGACTGCTCAAGCGTTGGTACTAGTTTGGT